GATGAGCACTTGGGCTGTTTCTAGATCTTAGCTATTGTAAATTACGCTGCTATGAACATAGGTGTATATATATTCTTTCTGATTCGTGTTTCAGGATTCTTAGGATATATTCCCAGAAGTGGGATCACTGGGTCAAAAAGCAGTTTCATTTTTTAGTTTTTGAGGAAAGTCCATACTGCTTTCCACAGTGGCTGCACCAGTCTGCATTCCCACCAGCAGTGTACTAGGGTTCCCCTTTCTCCACACCCTCGCCAGCACTTGTTGTTTGTTGATTTGTTGATGGAGCCATTCTGGTAGGTCTTAAGTGATACCTCATTAGTTTTAATTTGCATCTCTCTGACACTTGAGCATTTTTTTCGTATGTTTATTGGCCACCTGTATGTCTTTTTTGGAGAAGTGTCTACTCAGGTACTTTGCCCATTTTTTAATTGGATTGTTTGACTTATTTTTGTTGAGTTGTATGAGTTCTTTATATATAACTGGCAAATACGTTGTCCCATATAGTGGGTTCCCTTTTCATTTTGATGATGGTTTCTTTTGCTGTGCAGAAGCTTTTGTAGTTTTATTTTTGTAGTTTTATTTTTTCCTTTGTTTCTCTTGTCCTAGGAGATGTATCAATGACAATTGTGCTACATGAGATGTCTGATATTTTACTATGTTTTCTTCTAGGATTTTCATGGTTTTGAAACTTATATTTAAATCTTTAATCCATTATTTTTAAATATGTCTTTATTGATTTCAGAGAAAGGAAGGGAGAGGGAGAGAGAGAGAGAAAGAAACATCAGTGATGAGAGAGTCATTGATCAGCTGCCTCCTGCATGCCTCCCATTGGGGATCTAGCTCCCAACTGGGGCATGTGCCCTGACTGGGAATTGAATTTCAATCTCCTGGATCCTAGGTCAATTCTCAACTGCTGAGCTGGACAAATCTTTTATCCGGTTTGAGTTTATTCTTGGGTATGGTGTTAGCTGGTGGTCTAATTTAATTTTTAAGTGTATATTGTCCATCTCCCCTTAGATAGTAAGTTATTCAAGGACAGGCAATACTGAATATATACTGCTACACTTAAAACTTTGCATATATTAAGCCTCAGTAATTATTGGACAAAATGTCAGTCCTTTAAATCCAAAGGAATAATATCAGGACATTGGCCCGGCCGGGCGTGGCTCAGCAGTTAAGCGTCGGCCTAGGATCCAGGCGATCAGGGTTCGATTCCTGGTCAGGGCACATGCCCGGTTGCGGACTTGATCAATGACTCTCTCCTCATTGATGTTTCTGTCTCTCTCTCTCCCTCTCCTTTTCTCTCTCTGAAATCAATAAAGATATATTTTTAAAAATATATAAAATATACATATATATATATATATATATATATCAGGACATTGGTTTAACTTTTTATGCAATGCAGGCATCATTTTTACAACATCCTCGACTGGGACATCTTGAACATCTCCAGTCATGGCCAGCTTATCATCTCATGAAGCAGTTCATTCCATCTTGGGACAGCTCTACTTGTCTGAAGAGTCTTCTTTATACTAATTAAACTTCTCTCTGTGCAATTTCCACCCACTGCCCTTTGGAGTTATGCCAAGTAAGTAGAATTCCTACACATTTTAGAAAACAGTTGTAGATATTTCCTGTATCTTCTCTTTTGCAGGACAAATATTTCCATTTCTGTGACTAATTCTCCATATACTTACTATATATGGTCTTCCAATCTCATCCTTTCCATGACAGTTTGCAAATTCCTAATTTGTGAATTTTCATCTCAAAATTTCACACTCAGAACTTAACATAGTCCCTCTCCCATCTGCTTTGACTAGCACAGTCCACAGTGGAACAAATACCTTTCTTAGTCAATCTAGGTGTGACACTATTATTCGTGACAGCATAATGACTATTCTGATAGTTCTGACAGAAAGCTTGTATTTAACTAAAATCTCCAGTAATTTTCATAAGCACTATTATGAATACAAGGGCCTTCCACTTTGTAGATATGAACTTATTTTCTAAACTAGGTAAATATTTTATATCTATCCTGGTTAAACATATTGTTGTTACTTTTAGTAAAGTGTTCCATGTTATTTTAATCGTTGAATCCCAACTCTGTTAACATAATCTCTCTCCAAATGTTGTGCCATCAACGTATTTGATAAGTATGCTTTTAAGACAACATCCAAATCACTGATAAAATAGTTGCATAAATATATCAAAACTGAGTCCCATATCATAACAGCATAATATTAGAGTCCTTTTCCTGTGATACTGATATTATGTGTGGTTCAATGAGCTATTTGTTGCTTTTTAACAGCTTCCTTTTAGCTGCAAAAATATCATGAAAGGTACTATTGGATGCCTTTCTAAAGTCAAGATGCTCTGTGAAAATTAAGTATTTTATTAACAAAGACTGCTATTTATTCACTTCATTTTATATATGCATATAACTATATATATCATTATATATAAATTATGCACATCAACTTGAACCTATGGATAATTACCAACACAATGTCAATATTACCAGTGCCCCTAAAATAAGATTTTATATTAATATATTATCACATTTGTAAAAATCTCAATATAAAATAATGTTAATCAATCCAGAAGCCTCAGAAATTTTAAGATAAATTCAACATTATCCATATTGCTTAAAGCTCTCATATGAAATCTTCCCTGTCACTATACTGGTTTTCATTAAATCATGTATATTTAGCAAAAATTAGTATATTTTTAACACTACATAGACCAAATTAACTGGGAACAGTATCTCTAATAATAAGGGCACTTTCAGAGTGCTCTTTCCATTTTAAAAGTTGAAGGATATGGTCAAGTCAAACTTTCCACTAAGATATATCTTCCTATATCAAGAAAAATCAATGGCCCTGGCTGGCGTGGCTCAGTTGGTTGGGCGTCATCCGTGCACGAGGATGTTGTCAGTTCAGTTCTGGTCAAGAGCACATGCCTGGGTTGCCAGCTTGATCCCCAGTAGGGGGCATGCAGGAGGCAGCCGATCGATGTTCTGCTCTCACATTGATGTTTCTTTCTCTCTCTCCCCCTCTCCCTTCCTTTCTCTCTAAAAATTAATTGAAAAATCTTGGGGGAAAAAGAAAAATCTATTATTATGTGGCAGTGTCATGATACAAAAAGTTATTTTGGGGCAGCTGTATCTCTATCACTGCTTTCTAAACTACTTCGCTCAACTGAATGGATTCAGTAGCCCCACATCATACAAAATAATTTACAAATTATTTTACATTACTTTTTCTATTTTAGTGATGTTTATGAGGAAATTCTTACTGACTTTTCTAATTTTTAAACCTCTTTTCAGAAACTTAGGATTTTTTGGGGGAGATAGGTATAGCTATGTGAAACCAACTGCTTCAGGGGAAAATACTAAACTTTTCTTTATTCAACAAAACCATTTTTGCTTTTTAGGAGGAAAGGGAAGATGAAGGACCGACTTCAAGAACTAAAGCAACGGACAAAGGAATTGGAACTCTCTAGAGACAGGCATGTGTCAACTACAGGAGCAGAGGACCAAGGAATGGTTCTGCAACAAGCTGTTATTTATGAAAGAGAGCCGGTAGCTGAGAGACACCTACATGAGGTCCAAAAACTCCAGGAGAGTATTAACAATCTGACAGACGACGTTCAAAAGTTTGGGCAGCAACAGAAAAGTCTGGTGGCTTCAATGAGGAGGTTTAGTCTCCTTAAGAGGGAGTCGAGCGCGACGAAGGAGATAAAAATCCAAGCAGAACACATTAAGAGAGGTTTGGATGACTTAGTAAAAGAAGCTAAAAAATCAGAGGCAGAAAACGGTCCATCATCCGTGGTCACAAGGATACTTAGGTCTCAGCACGCCGCAATGTTCCGTCATTTTCAGCAAACCATGTTGGCATACAATGACACAATAGCGGCGAAGCAAGACAAGTGCAAGACATTTATTGTCCGTCAGCTGGAAGTGGCTGGGAAGCACGTGCCTGACGAAGAAATAAACGACATGCTGCACCAAGGAAAATGGGAAGTTTTCAATGAAAGCCTGCTCACAGAAATCAGTATCACTAAAGCACAGCTCTCAGAGATAGAACAGAGACACAAGGAGCTTGTTAATCTGGAGAATCAGATGAAGGACCTAAGGGAGCTTTTCCTTCAGATCTCTCTCCTAGTAGAGGAGCAAGGGGAAAGCATCAACAACATTGAAATGACAGTAAGTGGCACGAAAGAGTACGTTAACACTACTAAAGAGAAATTTGGGCTAGCTGTGAAATACAAAAAAAGAAATCCTTGCAGGGTACTGTGTTGTTGGTGTTGTCCATGCTGTGGCTCAAAATAAAGAAGCTATTTTAGAAATGTCTGCAGCTTTGGGATGAAGGATGCCCCGTATTTCAGCGTCCTGTTTTTCTTCACTGCACAGGTTCATTCACATACCTTTCATCACTATTAAGTCATAATTTCCCCCTTCAGCCCTCACCCACTAGAATTGCATAAACTTCCGAAGCCAGTGACAGAAAACGTCTTCATTTATTAAACTAAAACCAGTATCCTTAGCTGTTGAAAGTGAGGTGAATGATCTTAAGTTTCTAATCAGGTATCAAGCTCTATTATATATTTCTGTAATTTCCAATGTCTTTAGAAGATGAATGTCAATAAGTGGCAACTACTTATACAATCCTTTTGGTTCATTTGAGAATATTTTGGTAGTTAAGAATTGTATAAAACAAGACTTCAAAGGGTGCTATATTCAAGCAAAATTAAATGGAAGCTGTATCAAATCTTTTATGCTGAGATACATCAGATAACTCAGTGGTCAGCAAATCCTGATAAGATCCAGCTATGTACCTGATGAAGAGTCTAGTTGGTAACGGGAGCTGAATCTAGTTTAAGGCCTAAGAAGACAAATTAAGGCACTGTTTTCCTGAAGACGGTTTTCTATTCAGCACACTGTATTACATACAGATCAGGAGGGTTGGCAAATGAAGTAAAAAATAAAGACAACTGTATTCTTGAACATTTCTCCATCACTTTTTTGTAAAGCCCGGCACTACACTAGGGGCAAGGGATATAGTTTGAACTCACAAAGGCATAGAAATCTGTAACACATTCTAGTGGAGAAAACAGGTAACAAATACAAATATCAGATCACGCTAAGTTCTTGACAAACAAAATGAGGATATGATGAGACAGAGACTATCAGGGTGGCTTCTTTTGGCGGGGTGGTAAATGAAGGCCTCTCTAAAAGGTAGTATTAAGTGAAAATCTAAATGATGAGGACAAGGGATGGTACATTCTAGGCACAGGGTACAAACAGTAGAAAGATTCTGAGGAGGGTATAATTTACTCTGTTCAAAACAAACAAACAAAAAATGAATAGTACATCCATATCAGTGGCAAAAAGAGCAGTAAGGAAAGAGATGAAGTTAAGAAAGGTCAGCAGGGGCTAGAGTTAAGACTTTCTAAACCATGTAAGTCTGAAATTTAAGCAGTATAATCAATGAAAAGCCCCCAGATTGTTTTTGGCCTGGTAATGTTATATAATTTATATTTGAGAAAAGTCATCCTGTCTATTGTATGCAGAGTGGGTTAGAATGGATTTGAGACAGGTTAGTGGAAGGCATGCAAATAGGTATAGAAAACAACTAGCTTAATGAAGTAGTCCCAGGAAGAGATGATGGGGGCTTGGACCAGGATGGGAATGGAGGTGGTGGTGGTGGTAGCAGCAGTACTCAAACTCGAGATTAATAAAGTTACTTGCTATGTTCCAGCATAGTTCTAATAATTTTACAAGTTTACGAACAAGAACACTGACTTACAGAAAGGTTAAGTAGCCTGTCCCAGGTCACAGAAACTGTGTCTAGAGATTCAGGACTTGAACTCAGGCAGTATGATTCCAGAGTCAGCTCTTAACAACTATGCACTATACAGTGGTGATTTAATTAAAACAAAAGTGATAGACTAAACTGTGACAGATTTCAGAGACAGAAACTACAGGATACTGATTGGATGATATTGCCATTTACTGAAAAGGGAAAAGACAGAAAGGAAGGTTTGACCAAGGGAATCCATGACAATAATAAAATGTCCAAGTGGAAGTTTCTAAGATATTAGTTAAATCAGTAGGAACTCTTGGGAGATGTCAATGCTGAAAGTACAGATTTGGGTCATTTGAGTAAATAAATGGTATTTAAGGTTAGATGACTTTAGGATGAAGTCACCTAAAAAGTATATAAAACACTGGAAGCCCAGAACAGAGGCTGGGGCATTCCAAAACTTAGATGTAAAGCAGAAGAGTTAATAAAGGAGACTGAGAAGGAACCAGCAATGAAGTAGGAGGAAAACCAAGAAATGTGCTGCAAAATGCAAAAGAAGAGTGTTTAAGAAGAACAAAGTTGGGGAAATTGTTGATTTTAGGGAAAATAGGAATGGCAAAGTGACGGGGTTTGGGAACACGGTGGTAATTTGCTGAGCCCAACAAGAACAGCTGCAGGGAACTACGGGGATGGAAGCACAGCTGGAGTACACGGAGGAAACGCGGACGGGGAAGACAGTGGCCCCTGCAGACCGCTCTTCCCAGAGGCTGACTGGAGGGCTATGGAAAGAGGGCAGGGGCCGGAGAGGGCTGTGGAGTCAAAGGGCTCTGTAATGCTTAAAGCTAGGAAACACAGGGGCACATCCCACTACTGGGAATAATCTAGAGAGAAACTCAATCTAAGAAAGGGAAGAGAGCATGGAAAAGCAGAAAGGGGGGCCACCTGGAGCACAAATGGAGATGCTGCCTTGGCTAGGAGCAGAAACAATTCTTCCATATTACAGGACAAAAGGCAAGATTTAGGGATAAAAGCAGATAGTTGAGCAAATTTGGTGGGAAAATGAGAATTCTTACGTGACAGATTCTATTTCCTCAAGGAAGTATGAGGCAAAATTATCTAATGAAAGTGCAGTGGGATTAAGGGAGAACAGAAAAATATATACATATACCTCCTAACACTGTAATTTTTAATTTATAAAATGAAACTGAAAAGCTTTTCACTGTGTCACATATGTCAGCTTCAAATGTTTCAAGAACATTATAAAAAAGATAAATTGAGAACTGATGATTATCTCCCTAGCTAGCCAGCGGCAGCAGACATCTCTCTTCTGTCCCTTCTAAAGTTGTGCTATATCCTTTTACCTAGTGCCTTACCTTGTTTGCAATGATTCCTAAATTGTGTATCATGAAAACTGAGAATACTAAGTACTATGTAATATTCATTAACATAATTATATCCAGATGGATTTGTAAAATAATAATTTTCTATTAACATTTATATCTATACATAGCATTTTAGAGCAAGGCTCCAACACAGAAGAGTTCAGTAACGTGTCACATACAACTGTTATATTTTAAAACCATAGTTATCATCCTAACTTAAGCATCAAAAATAACAACATGATATTTAACTAATTAGCCACTGAACATTTTGTTCACATACTTAATAGGCACTAATAGTAATGTTTCCTTAAAATCACTGCCTTAATGGAAAAAAAAATTCTTAAGCATTGGAGGCACTATATTAGTAACCTACTGGTTCTGAAAGTATGCAGTATTAAAAATGAAAGCAGCATGAGTACTATTCTTACCCACTCAACTATATTGTTTTCTGCAATCAAAAGCTGGTGTGGCTCAGCAGCTGAGCATCCATCTAGGATCCAGGAGATCGAGGTTCGATTCCCAGTGAGGGTACATACCCGGGTTTCAGGCTCGATCCCCGGTGGGGGGCGTGCAGGAGGCAGCCAGTCAATGGCTCTCATCATTGATGTTTCTATCTCTCTCTCTCCCCCTCTCTCTTCCTCTCTCTAAAATCAATAAAGATATATTAAAAAACAAAAAAGCTTCATATAGCCTAAATTCATATGAGACACATCAAAACTGGATCTCCTAATTCATCTCTATCCAGACACAACATATCAGCAATAGTAACTATTCACATCCACCATCACATTTATAGAACACTAGTAAAGCACTGCACTAGATGCTTTAAACACATTATCTGGAATTCACATGACAACAGAGGCATTAAAAACCTTATTTACAAGTGAAGACACAGAAGCTCAGAAAGATTAAGCTATCCAAGGACTGACTCCAAAGCCCACACTTTCCCCTATTCCAGTAGTTCTCAATTTTTGCTCTGCATCAGAAAGATCTGGAAAAAAAAACAGAAACATTCCTGGCCCTACCCTCTAAAATTTAGGAGGCCAGGGCTGATATTGATACAGGTGTTCCCTGGACAATATCTTGCTGCCTAACTACACTGCCAACAGGCTTTTCTTTGTTGATTTGTCATTAAATAGAGTGTGTTGGGGCATGGAAGGGGAAGGATGGGAACCTCTGCAGGCTGCTTGTGCATAAATTACGAAGGAAATCAACCAGCTCAGCCACATTAGTGTAAACTACAGCTGCTAGGAATGAAGCTGGATGCCCTTAGAGACAAAGGAAGCCCTCTGCAAGAAACTGTGCAGGTGAGGGAACAGAATACATAAGGTCTATGAACATGACAGCTTGGTAAAGCTCCACTGAAAGAAGAGAAATCTTAAGCCAATGGACCCTATAAATATAGTAAGTAGGGGTTTCAGATGGTAAAAATGGTAAAATTAGGGAACTCGCCACTATATCTAAGGATCGAGTGATTCAGTGGCATGGGTAATCCATACTTCCATACTTCTGGGTTTCCAGCACTCTGAAAGGGACCAGGTCCTTCTTTTATTATTTAAAGGTCTAACTTAGTAAAAGTACATTTGACTCAAATTCTAATGAGAGTATTAGGAAAATCATAACCTAGTTAACTTCTCCTGGGCATGTATAATCAAGAATATGATTTAAAAACAAACAAAAAAACGTGCAGACCAACATTTGTCTGTAATTTATCTAGAAGGAAGGAGAATCAGGTAGGAGACAGAAATCTCATATTGAAAAAGTAATGATAAAAGCTTAGTTGTTTCTAGTATGGAAACTCACTGTCATGGTTTTTAGGTTTTGGTCATGAAATCCTTTAGGTGTTTAAGGAGAGCTACAATCTGCTCCCAAGAAAAATGCACATGAAGTCAGAATTGGGTATGTGATTTCACAGGTTCCTGGGAGGCCACCCACAGTGCAAAGACCTCCAGATCAAAAAACTCTTTTTTAGATACTGATGCTGTGTCATTCATCTGCGAGGACCCAGGCCCCTCGGATATCTCCTAAATGAGAAACAACGAACATTTAATAAATGGACTTTAAATGTGGGGGGAAAAGTCTTTTTTTATTGAAATGTTCATAACATCTTGTAAGATCATATTGGAGATATTGTTTTCTTCGCTTAGTGAAATTCCTCTATATTTATCGCTTTTGTTGTGAAGTGTTGGCCAATTTGTAAGATTTGACCAAAGGTTAAGTTAGGTCATATGACTCCACAGAAAAGCAGACAGTGTGTAATGAGAATATGGCTCCATTCCAAGAGTTCAGGTGTGCCAACACAGGTAGAACTGTTACTATTCTGGGAGGAATTTTAGCCTGTGGATCTCCAGAGTTATTCCAATGATAAATATTAGGAGATTCAACCATAAAAAAAAAAAAAAAAGAGGGTAATTTGCTATTTCTCTGAGGCTACCTTAGAGGGGGGAAATGTAGAAATAGCATGAGTCTTCTTATAACATCAGTGTAGCCTTAGGGTGCTGAAAATTCAATAGGTAAAGGTGTTTAAAATACCTCCCAGCTCAGTTCCTTCCATAGGTCATCAACAAACAGTGCCTTCTATTTTTTTTTAATTAAATATTCTTTATTGATTTCAGAGAGAGGAAGGGGGGGAAGGGAGGGACAGAGAGAGAGAGAGAGAGAGAGAAACATCAATGATGATAGAGAGTCATTGATAGGCTGCCTCCTGCATGCCCCACCCTGGGGGTCGAGCCCACAACCAGGGCATGTGCCCTGACCGGGAACTCAACTTTGATCTCCTGGATCACAGGCCGATGCTCAACCGCTGAGCCACGCTGGCTGGGCACTGCCTTCTGTTATTAATGGAAAACTCTCTGGTGTGTGTTGAGCTTCAAATATGGGATTACTGCTGATTTCAGTGCTATTTAAAACTGCAGAAGTTGTTTACTTTTTCTCCTGGAAAGGTCTTCTGTATCTGTCAAAAATTACCTAGTTTTGAGTTTTAAATTAAGTTATAAATGGTTAAAACACAAGTGTGGGAAGCATGAGGGTAGATAACATAATTCACACCTCAGTAAGTAAGAATATAGGCTAAAGTTAATCTCTACAGTAGATTTGAGAGAAAAAGAAAGACTTTCTAGCTAAATAAACCACTTAATTACAGGGCAGAATGTTTGCATGGCATCTACTTTTGTTCTCTTTAGAAGGAATATAAATCACTTTTACATTTTTACTGAAATAGATTCTTGTAATAGATTCAGTAGGTTCTTGTTATTATATACAGCTGAATACAAATGCAGAATTACAGTATTTTACCGCTACTCCTATTACAGAAGAGGCATTCAACCACTATCTGCTGAACAGAACTTCTGAGCTAATAAAACACAGAAGCCGAGTGATGTTCCATGATTCTGACCTTTCAGGAGAAACCTCAAGTCTATAACATAAAGTGAAATTCGGCTGAGGCTTTATCTGCAATGACATATGCTATCAGACTCATGTGCAGGAGCAAGTCAGGCAGAGATAGACTGTCCAGTACCTGCTACTGGAGTCATCCACTCTGCCTCCCATAATATGAATGAATCTGGCTCTATCAATTTGTAATTTTGTGATTACAGACAATACTCTAGTTCTTTAGGTTTATTTCTTTCTGTTGAATGACTGAATTTTCTCAGAGGTCTGTGGTTTTTCTCTATGTGCTCATTAGAGGGTGGGAAAAGAAAATTATCTAGGTATTTAAGTGAGGGCAGGAGAGAAGCAGGTGTGTGCAACATGGAGCACTGCAGACTGCCTCTAAGTCAGGTGCCCTCCCCATACTTCTCCACAACCCACCAGTCCCTAGCACTGAGCTTAACAGGGTTCTGCTAGAGGCCCTTCCCACTTACTATCCACTAGACTTTTCAATGCCGTACCTAATAGGTGCCAGAGTTGTATGAGTTAAAATACAGAATTTTCTAGCTGCATAGAGCTATGAAGGCAACCTGAAGATCTTAAAGCAGAGAAGTAGCAAAATGATCAAATTTGCATTTTAAAAAGAATACTCATATTCTTTATATATTCTTACTTTATATCACTTATTAAGGCATGCAAAAGCATGCACTGGTTTTATAATTTTAAAAGCCTCAAATAAATGAGTTCCTGCTAAGGAATGTGGAGGAAACTGGAGGACAGGCAAGAGTGCAGAAGGGAGACTTGTTAGGAAACTACTGCTCTCAGT